AGCAATGAAGCCTCTGTTGTGACTTTCATTCATCATCAAGTCTACTGCTCCTCTCTCACCTTCCTGTCATCGGAACAGCTTCTCCAGCCCCTCCATTTTTTAACTTAAATGAGTATTTATAGAATTTCAAAAACCCTAATTGAAATGGCTATGGGCCCCACATCAAAATAATTAAGACAAATATGATTTGGCTGAAAGTTGCATAAATGAATAGAATGAACACTTATGAAATTACTTGTAAAAAAATGCAACTCTTAAATCCATAATTTCACAAATGTCAAGGGTTGAGCACACTTTAAATACACATTTTCATGCTTTCATCACAACCCCCAACCAACTTATTGCTAGTCTCTAGCAATTCAAGCATGAATTAAGAAAGAAAGCATGCTGATCAGCTCAAAAAGACTAGCTAGGTATTTAGAAAAAAAGATCACAGTCGCAATCAAGATTACTTCAATTATAACTTTCGAATGTGTGTGTGTGAATTAAGCATAACCTTCATACCATAAACCACAATATGTGCAGCCGTGAAAATTAATCAAAGTAAAAGCCCTCCATATTCTCACAGGTAAATAACTATTTGAGGCCAATGATCTTTCTCATGGAGTTGGAAAGCAGCAAGTCACTCAAAGGAAAAGGCCAAATTTAATGGACAATCAAACAAACAGACCATGATTAAAAGAATGGTTAATTGACTATTCAAAATTCCACTACTCTTACTATAAACTAGCTCCAAGATTTCAATCAATCAAATATGAGAGTAATAAAAGTAAAGCCTAATGAGAAAGATTGTTCCCTCAAAAGCAAATTTGTCTTCTAAATTGATTGAAGAGTTTATTTTTTCCTCTCTTTTTTTCTTTTTGGATTTTTTTCCTTTTCTATCTTTTTTTTTTTTTGAAGGTTTTTTAAACAAAGTGGGGAAAGTGCAAAATTTCTCACATAACTAATATCATCACATAAACCATTCCAAAGGCTTCACATTTCATAATAATAGTTCTCTTTCTTTTCTTTTCTTTTTTTCCCCTTTTTCTTTTCTTTTTTTTTTTTCTTCAGCTAATCATTCAACCATTCCTCCAAATAAATAATAGAAAGTCATGTAGAATTTTAAAATAAGAATTCTTATAAAACTTACCATTTTTTTTATGAATGAAAACAAAGCAATCCAAGGAATTTTGACATAAGAAAATCATCCATGCATTCACCTCTTGTTTGGTTTAAGGGAAACAAAGTCCCCTTTGCTTGTTTGGTTAGACTAAAATGTAAAATAATAATAATAATAATAATAATAATAATAAAGGAAGGAAAAACACATCACTTTCCCTCATTTCCCCTCCAATTTTTTATTATCCAAATAAAGAAGTTTTTCTTCCTTAAGACATTAATGTTAACTCTTAATCAACCAATAAAAGAAACAATAGCATTTTTAGTATTTATAATAGGAATGATTTTGTTCCAAATTCTCAATAAGTATGGATATTTTAATTCTCAATGAATAAAGTTTTGTAATATGTCAAAAGTACCTTAAATTATTTAGTACATAACATGATTTTCTTTTATTTACATTTTTTATTTCTTAATAAATTAAAAATATAATAGTTAATTAAAATAAAAAAGTGTGACATCAATAATTGAAGACTTAATAATAACATCACCTCATTAAAAGGGAGAAAGAGGATTTTTCTATACTTAGTTTTGTATGTATTTAAATTTAAAGACTTTTTTTTATGCTAACATTATTGTTTTTTCATACTTAACTTTCTTTACATGAATAGTTTTAATATTGTTAAAAAAATAAAGCTTCATACTTTAATTTTACAAGTATTATATAATCACTATTTAAATTTTATGAAATAGTATTAATAAAACTTTAAAAAATAATACAAAAGAAGTGAAGTTATTATCACACCTTAGATAGTTAATATCATATTATTTTAATATAATTATCTATTTTACCATTACATTATATTTTTTCTCTAATTTCTACATTTTTTTTGTTTCTTATTAATTGTTATTAGATATTAATTACTTAAAAAATGGAAATGGAATCGTTGCAAGAGATGACTAAAAAGAAAAAAAAAAAGAAATAAAAAACAACATTCTAGGAAGAAAAGTATAGCAAAAAATGTACTGCACAATTTAAATATATGTAGTTATAATATATTAATTGATGGTAGAATAACTCATTGAATAGTATGATATTTTCTAACTTTTTTTTACTCTAATAATAATAAATGTTACTAAATGTTTTTTGTTACTAAATGTTTTTTTCTAAC